AGAAGTTTCTGCACAGCAAAAGACATGGTAATTGGTGTGAATTGACAATTCTTCGAATGGGAGAATAGTTTTGTTAACTATGCCTCAGATAAAGGACTGATAACCAGAATACACAGGGAATTCAAACAGCTTCCCTTAAAAAAAAAAAAAGATTAACCTGATTAAAAGATGTGAAAATGAGCTGAACAAAAAGCTAAGGAAGACACACGAATAGCCAAAATGCTCAACATCCAGGTGTGAATTGACAATTCTTCGAATGGGAGAATAGTTTTGTTAACTATGCCTCAGATAAAGGACTGATAACCAGAATACACAGGGAATTCAAACAGCTTCCCTTAAAAAAAAAAAAAGATTAACCTGATTAAAAGATGTGAAAATGAGCTGAACAAAAAGCTAAGGAAGACACACGAATAGCCAAAATGCTCAACATCCATCATCATAAGGGAAATGCAGATTAAAACGACAATGAGATACCACCTATCCGCTGATAGAATGGTGAAGATTAAAAATACAAAAAAAATGGTTAAGCGTTGGCAGGATGGTGGTGAAAGGGAAACTCTCCTACACTGGTGGTGGGAATGTAAATATGTCAAGTCACTGTGGAAAAAAATATGGAGGTTCTTCAAAGACCTACAGATAGAGCTACATGTAAACCAGTAATTCCACTCCTGGGTATCTTCTCAAGGGACAGGCAAAGGCTCAGTTGGAAAAGTGCTTGCACGCCAATGTTTATTGCAGCATTATTCACTTTTGCTAAGACATGGAACCAACCCAAATGTCCACGAACAGATGAATGGATTGAAAAAGTGTGGCGCACTGTTCAGCCATAAAAAACAAATCCCTGACATTGGATAGAAAGTGGTTTAATATGGAAGATTTATTGCTGAGTGAAGCAAACCAGGTTATGAAAGAGAGATATTGTATATCTTCACTTAATATATACTGATTGTCCACAGTCTATGGTAGAGACAGAAAGATTAGGACATAAAAGCAGTGAAAATAGTTATAGACACTGGAGACAGTGTGGAAAGAGAGTTGGAGAGGGGAAGATTATAGGGAAGGAAATCAGAGAGAAAAAAGAGAGAGGCATGACATTAATGAGACACAGAAATAATGTATTACTTGTTGATGAGAACATGTATAGTATTCTCAGCTAGACTGGTCTGAGATATATTTCACATTGGATAAATTATCTTTACAACCCAAATGATGTCTAGCTAGTGAGTGTTTAAAATCATAATAATGAAATAAATTTTAAAAAATGAGTTTAAGGGACACTTGGTAAATCCCGATTCAGTGACTATCAGGTTTGTTGCTTTTTCACAAGGCAGCCCAGTGTCTTTCTTGGTACGTGTCGCATACATCTATTATGGAAGACAATGGGATCTCCTCTACCAGTGATAGCCTATTTTCCAGTACTTTAAAACTGTATGATACTGGTAGATAAGGTTAAATAATTTCAGATATTTTCCAGTTATACCATGTTGGCCCCAGGTGCCTTGCAAGTGATTTTCCTGGTTTCTGACAAGAGCTGTGATGAATCAGTTGCTTGGGGTAACTTGTGCCTCTTCACACTATTGATTTTAGAAAAATACCTTCAGAAGCTGGTAAAGTCATATATTTAATGCCATTTGTCCTTAAAACATCACTGTTCAGGGAAGAAACAATCAACACACTATAAATAGTCATTAAATCAATGACATGGATCTTAAAATGAAAAGAAAATTTAAAAATCTTTTGTTTTTAATATACAGGAAAAATAAATTCTGCTTTTTTACCTTAGTCTGCCTTTTGATTAAACTCCACATGTAATTTTCTTTTAACATGAGTAAATCTTATTGTTAACTGTTTAACTGTACAGGTAATGCCTATTTTTGTGAACTGATACTATATTATATGAAGAATTATTCACTTGCTCTTATTCTTTGTGCTTTTTAAATGAAATAATTCCTTATTTTTAAAAAGAATTATTTTATTTAACTTTATTTATTTATTTTAATTTGACCAGAAAGGGACAGAGAGAGAGAGAAAGCACGCTGCCAGGTCAGAGACTTGAACCAAGGTCAGCCATATGGTATTCCAGCGCCCTTAACTACAACACCAATCTGGCAGCATCTCTTATCCTTTTTTTTTTTTTTTTTTTTTTTTTTTTGAGATATTTTGCTATATGGTGTGTGTACTCACCGAAGAGACAGAGACAGAAAGCAGGAAGTCACCCACCCCCCCAGGTGGATGGCCACGTTGCAATCCCTTCTCCTCCATTCTCCTCTTCGAATCTTGGGCACATACGCACATGTGCCTGGTATGAATTTTAAGTCACCGCGTCCAGGACTCAAAACACAGTTGACTACATGGGAGTCCAGTATCCTTTGTTTTTATATCTAAACTAGTATACTTTGAAATATTTGTCATTTGAGTTAAAATAAGCAAGCTTGGATAACATTATGTTAAGTGAAATAAGCTAGGTATAGAAAGAAAAATACCACATATTCTCACTCATATCTGAGAACTGAAAAATACTGGCCTCAAAGAAGTAGAGAGTTGAAGAATGACTACTAGAGTCTGGGAAATATAGAAGGGGGGAGAATAGAGAGATACTGAGTTATGGAACCAGTAAGAGCTCAGTAAGAGGAAAAATTTCTAGTGTTATAAAATTCAGCAGGGCAAATATAGTTAATGACAATTTACTACATTATCTCAGAGTAACTAAAAAGGAGAATTTTGAATGTTCCCAACACAAAGTAAGGACAAATGGCTGAGGTGATGGGCATATTACAATAATCACCCTGATTTAATCAATTGACATGCGTTGCATTCTTGTCCTGAAAAATTACATTGTGCTCTGCAATATGTATAATAATTAAATGTCAATTGAATTTATTGTTTCTCTCCACTCTAAAAAAAAATTAATGTTCTTTACAAATTTCAAGAGTTCACTGAGTCCTAGGGTAACAACTTCATTTTTGATAATCTGAGTCTGAAGCCTTAACACAGATGGTTTTAGAATTTATTTTGGTTCCAACTTTTTTTTATTCATATGCATATTCATGTCTTTCACCATTTCTTAAAATAAAGGCTCTACCCCCTTCTCAGTCAAGGACAATGTATATAACTTTGAGCAGGTAATTTAGCTTCTGAAAGTCTTGTTCTCTTCGTAAGTAAAGTGAGGGATAAACTTCATGATCTCTAAACCTACTGAATCTGCTAAAATACATTTCTTTTGCATGAGATCTAGTCACTGCAATTTTATAATAAAAGTACCACAGCTTACTCCATAAACAAGACAGAAATCAGTTTTAGGTTGTGAAGCTTTTTATAGTAAATAATGGTGTAAGATGGAAAGATGGATATGAGTTTACCATTACTCATTTCTCTGAGCAAGCAACTGAAAACACCTGAACAAGGAGTAAAATGCACTGACACTGGAACTAAACACACTCTAACTTCTACCCTCCTGGGGTGCGTCAAAAGGCACTCCAGGCATGGCTGGGAAGACTGTCCTCACTGGTGCAGACTCAGGATTAGAGCAAAGTTCCCACCTGAGATTCTTTTGTTTTCAGTTCTCCTTCTAAATTCCAGCATCAACTGTTTTTTTTTTTTTTTTTCATCTGCTTCTATCTCATCAAGCACAGAACAGAAAGAACAACTAATGATATTCAAGTATTTTGACTGTCAGAATGTCAGATTAAACATTCTTTATTTTGTGTGTTCTACAAATGAGTAACTACTGGGAAATGTGGTTGTATTTAGAAAACAGCATTTTTGTTGGCATAGAGGCAAGAGTGCATACTGAAGATATTTGTCTGTGGATCTGAGTGTACTAAATTGGGGGTAGAGGAGGTGGCAGTTGAAGACCAAAGGAAATGCTTGATGCTGATTATTGAGGGCAGAGGTTCTTCATAATGGGATTATGTATTTGTAATATATATTTTTTTTATTAAAAATGATTGTCAATGTTGGGGAGATGTCTGCATTTCCAGGTTTATTGCAGCACTCTTCATTGTAACCAAGGTGTTATACCAGCGTAAGCATTCACTAGCAAATGAATGGAGGAAAACGGTGGTATTATACATAGGGAAATAACTTAAGAAGAAATGAAATCCTGTTATCTGCAGCATCATGAAGGATACACCTGGTGGGTGAGGAGGTGGGCTGGGCACACAGGGTCAATGCTACATGCTCTTGCTCACTTGTGGAATGTAGGAGAGCTATTCTCATGAAGGTAGAGAGTAAAATGGTGGTCACCAAGAGGTAAGGAAGGTAGAGAAGAGGGTGGTATTGGGAGACTTGTGAACTGTGTAACTGCATAATTACAGATATAAATAGTAGAAATAGAGTGTTCTATTGCACAGCAAGATGACTAAGAATTAAGGTATTGTATTACATTTTTAAAAATTTTGGGAAAAGAGGATTTTAAATGGTCTTACCACAGGGAAGTGGTAGGTATTTGAAGTGGTTAATATACTGAGTGTCCAGATTTGATCACTGCATAATGTGTACACATGTCAAAACATCATACTTAATCTCAAAATATGTACTATTATTATGTGTCAATTAAAAATAAAATTTTAAGGAAATGTATGATAAATATGACACTGAATACCCTTAGTTTGGGGACTATGCATATTAGACGTAATTTCTACAGTTATGACACTCATACTAATTTGATTGCAAATGACATCAATTAATATCAAGAGGGATCAATATTTCATAGGACATATTTTGGAAATGCTGGCTTGATAGTTTTCACCTAATGGTACTACAATAAGTCCATATGTTTGCACGGTTACATTTTCCTAGTTAATTCAATGTTTTGAATGAAATAGCCAGAGTGAAGTCTGAAAAACTGGAAAGCAAAAAATGAGATTAAAAAAAATCACTAAAGAGAAAAATAAAAATTGCCTCACATGTTTGGGTTTTTATTTAATATTTTTTTTTATTCTGTGCCCTTCCTCCCCCAATATGAGGTAACCACTGAGAAGTCTTTGTCAGGTTCTTACCTTGAAGAAGGTCATTGTTGATCCATCTCTGACCGCCCCATATTCTATCTTGGTTTGCTTTGCTAGGTCATCTGCCGAATCTATAGGAGATTCCATTCTCTCTACTGTCAAGAAGGCAGCCAGATTGGCAGTGTAGGATGAAATGATGATTAGGGTGAAAAACCACCATATCCCTCCAACTATTCTGGTCGATAGAGCTTTGGGCATCAGCTCTGATCCTGTGATGGTATCATCAGAGTAAGGGTGTTAAACAGAGTTAGAAGAAAAGGAACGACTTATAGTTCAACTCTATTCTAGGGAGAGAAACCCCTCAAGGATTTATTACTATCTTGTATGTAGATGACATAATAGATTTTCTAGGAACATTATCTAAATGGTCATTAAAAAAATCATTAACGACCACTGTTGCATAAATGTAAATTTTCAACTGTTAATGATATTAAAATTCTTTTCATCCTGAAATCTCCCATATATGAAATTTGGTTAGTTTTGTTACTTAAAATTGAAAAACCAATCCCAAGATGTCTGTCCTTTTATTACTGTCTAAAATGCATGTTACAGTGTGAAATTTAATATTCTAAGTCTTTGTGTAACTATAAAAAGCTTTTAGGTGCTAAATAATTTAAGTGGCTAAATAATTTTTATTTAAATAATGTAAGGAAATTTCAAAAGTTTAACGTATTATACTATTTATTATTTAGCTTAATAGAACATTGGAATTTTACAAATTAAACAAGATATACCCACTTGACAGTGGATGATTTTTTTATGATTTTATGTTATTTTTAAAGTCATAATTCTTTTTTTCTAAAGTAGATTCTTACTAGCTTAAAATAATATATCCTTAAAAAAGATAATTTTGTCTCTAAATAAAGTAATATTTCTTAATTACAGTTCAAGGACTAGCTGCATCTCAGGTGGAAATAGGCCTGATGAGAATATAAATTTTAAATGCCAGTTAGATGATTCATAGTTATTTTTATTTTTATTTTAGAGAGAGATTTTTGCTATAGGGAATATGTACTCACTGGCTGGAGAAATAGAGAAAGTGAGAAATCACCCTCCGGGGGATAACCACATTGAAATCCCTTCGCTTCCATTCTCCTCTTGGGATTTTGGGCTTATATGCACATGCACTTGGTGTAAGTTTCAAGCCACTGAATGTGGGACTCAAACCACGGTTGACCGTGTGGGAGTTCAACAACTTAACCACTACACCACCTGCTGGACCTGATTCATGGTTATATTTAAAGATAATATATAGACACTTGTGTTTAGCATGGGAACTTTTCTCTTTAAGAGAAAGGGCCTGTGGGCTAAGTTTACTTACACAAAAGGTAAACTTCTTAAAAATTGTCTAGTTCAGTTTTAATGAAACTGAGCTGTGCAAGTCTATAGCTCTGGCAGCAAAATTAGAGGACACTAAAAGGTAGTATAATTAGAGTTTATGCCAATTACACTGATTCATAAATGGCTTCGGCTAGTAATTCACCATTGGTCTAAGCATTTCCTTCCTGAACCTGAAGACATGATGGACTTTATGTGATCAGTTAAAAAATGGAAGGACAAAACCTTAAATTTAGAATTGCAAAGGATGAAGTACAGCTGGTCATATATCTAGCTTAAGGAATCCTTTCTCTATACTGATTGGATGTTATGAAGGTTTTTTGAAGTTTTTTGTTTGTTTTTTAAGAGGGTTTTTTTGTTGTTGTTGTTGTTGTTTTTTTGCCATAAAGCTTGTGTGCTTGCCAGAGAGACAAAGGTATACAGTGAGAGGGAAAGTGAGAAATACTCCCCCCGTCCCAGAAGGGATGGCCACGCCACAATCCCTTTTTCTCCATTCTCCTCCTGGGCTTTTGGGCATGCATGCACACACATCCAGCAAGATTTTCAAGCCACCAGGTCCAGAACATAAACGGTTCCTGAGCATGTAGGAGTCCAGTGACGTAACCACTGTGCCATCTATTGGCCCTTGCTTTGAAGTTTTGTAGTAAATAATGGCTTAAGAATGAAAGGAAAACTGGAGTTTACCAATCTAAAATAGATGAGTTTATGCTCAGGTTTGATCTATAAACATACACACATATTGCTTATGAAATGAAAGCTAGCTTAAGGCTAGTGTTAAGCAGATCAAGGCTGGCAAAGTTTCTGGGTTTGAGTTAACGGATAGATAGACTCCTAATGCTATCAGGTGTTGTTGTGCTCTATTCTCTTTTAATGAGGTAAATGGATTGATTGTGGTTTGTTTTTCCTTTTGTTGTTTATTTGAGTTTGGGCATGTAATATTACACAGATTTATAACAGTTTCTGCTAAATTGCCTCCAAAGATTTAGTGGAATAGTTTGTTGCTGTTGTTTTGATCTTGTGGTTTAAAGGAGTTATGTGCCTGTGGGGGGTGTGTGTGTGTTTAATGCTCAAGGCTGTTTCATATCTTTGTACTTAATTGATCTAGCAGCCTTGTGGCAATGTGATATTATTTTAGGTCTTTAGTGGTTATCATTAAAATACCATTTATTTCTTTAAATAGCCATGGGAAAGAAATAACACAGTTCATATGTAAATTTATTCTTCTTACTTTATAGACACAGATTTTCTGCTGTAAATTTATTCTTCTGTTATCTGGTTATCTTTATGAAGAGATAAAGTTTTAACTTATTTGTATATTTGTAGAACAGTTTAATATATGGCAGTAAAATTGGACAGATGAATTACTGACTATTGACTTGTAATAATATAGACACATCTTTTACACTTTAAAATACTTATTCATATTTTTGGATCAGGTTCTTTTGAAAATTAAAGAATAAATTCATAAAAACATCCTAAGATTATAATGTAAATCCCTGGTAGATTGTATCAATTAGATTTTTAAATATTTCTTTATTTTTTATTTTCATGTAATTTTGTGAATTTCCTGACTATTAATGTTAATTGATATATAGCCATGCACCACAAAATGATATTTCATCACGTACATGACAGTGGTCCCATAAGGAGTGTGTAAGCTATTCCATATAGCCTATCAGTGGCCTGGGTATACTAGGCTATGTGGTATATCCTACATCCTCCTTATGGGACCACTGTCATGTATGTGGTGAAGCATCCTTTTGGGAACCATCGAAGATAATATATAGACACTTGTGTTTAGCATGGGAACTTTTCTCTTTAAGAGAAAGGGCCTGTGGGCTAAGTTTACTTACACAAAAGGTAAACTTCTTAAAAATTGTCTAGTTCAGTTTTAATGAAACTGAGCTGTGCAAGTCTATAGCTCTGGCAGCAAAATTAGAGGACACTAAAAGGTAGTATAATTAGAGTTTATGCCAATTACACTGATTCATAAATGGCTTCGGCTAGTAATTCACCATTGGTCTAAGCATTTCCTTCCTGAACCTGAAGACATGATGGACTTTATGTGATCAGTTAAAAAATGGAAGGACAAAACCTTAAATTTAGAATTGCAAAGGATGAAGTACAGCTGGTCATATATCTAGCTTAAGGAATCCTTTCTCTATACTGATTGGATGTTATGAAGGTTTTTTGAAGTTTTTTGTTTGTTTTTTAAGAGGGTTTTTTTTTTGTTGTTGTTGTTGTTTTTTTGCCATAAAGCTTGTGTGCTTGCCAGAGAGACAAAGGTATACAGTGAGAGGGAAAGTGAGAAATACTCCCCCCGTCCCAGAAGGGATGGCCACGCCACAATCCCTTTTTCTCCATTCTCCTCCTGGGCTTTTGGGCATGCATGCACACACATCCAGCAAGATTTTCAAGCCACCAGGTCCAGAACATAAACGGTTCCTGAGCATGTAGGAGTCCAGTGACGTAACCACTGTGCCATCTATTGGCCCTTGCTTTGAAGTTTTGTAGTAAATAATGGCTTAAGAATGAAAGGAAAACTGGAGTTTACCAATCTAAAATAGATGAGTTTATGCTCAGGTTTGATCTATAAACATACACACATATTGCTTATGAAATGAAAGCTAGCTTAAGGCTAGTGTTAAGCAGATCAAGGCTGGCAAAGTTTCTGGGTTTGAGTTAACGGATAGATAGACTCCTAATGCTATCAGGTGTTGTTGTGCTCTATTCTCTTTTAATGAGGTAAATGGATTGATTGTGGTTTGTTTTTCCTTTTGTTGTTTATTTGAGTTTGGGCATGTAATATTACACAGATTTATAACAGTTTCTGCTAAATTGCCTCCAAAGATTTAGTGGAATAGTTTGTTGCTGTTGTTTTGATCTTGTGGTTTAAAGGAGTTATGTGCCTGTGGGGGGTGTGTGTGTGTTTAATGCTCAAGGCTGTTTCATATCTTTGTACTTAATTGATCTAGCAGCCTTGTGGCAATGTGATATTATTTTAGGTCTTTAGTGGTTATCATTAAAATACCATTTATTTCTTTAAATAGCCATGGGAAAGAAATAACACAGTTCATATGTAAATTTATTCTTCTTACTTTATAGACACAGATTTTCTGCTGTAAATTTATTCTTCTGTTATCTGGTTATCTTTATGAAGAGATAAAGTTTTAACTTATTTGTATATTTGTAGAACAGTTTAATATATGGCAGTAAAATTGGACAGATGAATTACTGACTATTGACTTGTAATAATATAGACACATCTTTTACACTTTAAAATACTTATTCATATTTTTGGATCAGGTTCTTTTGAAAATTAAAGAATAAATTCATAAAAACATCCTAAGATTATAATGTAAATCCCTGGTAGATTGTATCAATTAGATTTTTAAATATTTCTTTATTTTTTATTTTCATGTAATTTTGTGAATTTCCTGACTATTAATGTTAATTGATATATAGCCATGCACCACAAAATGATATTTCATCACGTACATGACAGTGGTCCCATAAGGAGTGTGTAAGCTATTCCATATAGCCTATCAGTGGCCTGGGTATACTAGGCTATGTGGTATATCCTACATCCTCCTTATGGGACCACTGTCATGTATGTGGTGAAGCATCCTTTTGGGAACCATCGAGGTCTGCATAAGTACACACTGTGATGTTCTCACAATGACAAAACATCCTACAACACACTTCTCAGAATGTGTCTTGTTTGTTAAGCAACTCATGACCATACTAAAGAAATGGCTTCTCTCAAGTAAAGGTCATTTGTGTAAATTCAGAACCCTAGAGGGTGAAGTTTTGAGAACAACAAAAGTAAAGTAAAACATCATTAGAAAATATTTGGGATGAGAGACAATACTTGCTGAAGTCTCTTTAGTGCCTTTTACGGCAGACATGACAGCCAATCCTGATCCAGACTTTGCTCACGCTCTGTAGAAAAGAGAAAGTCTGATCATCACATTAAAAAAGAAATTAAACAAAATGGTTTCCAATTGAGTACAGTGACAAACTTCTGCTAACAAGAGAGAGCGCAAGAGAGGGTAGCTACCTGCTTCAACGCCACATGCCAAGGACAGATGCACTAACAGTCACGAGTGCTGCGAGCTTGTACATGGGGATATTTGTTGCACCTGATAAATGTTTGTAAACTTCTTAAAAGACAAGCAGAGTCTGGTTGGGGCTGACTGTCATGTATCCAAGGTCGTTACCACTACTTAACAGACACTGCATCCCACAGTTTGCTGTGGATGATGGTAAACTCCAAGCAGGTAGAATGTGCCAGAGAAGCTCTGGGGTGGGAGTGGGGAGATGGGTGCACTTACATGTCAGAAGACAGCCACAATCAAATTCTTGCACATGTCTGCTGCGTGTTCTGTGAAAACTAACTGTACATTTTTGTATTCCAATGGCTGGGAATAGAAGGCTACAGGGCAGAGAAGAGGTCTCCTTTTGCTCTCAAGATAAATATCCTAAATGTTAAATGCACAGGTAAAGTGGTATATGGCTTCTAATGGGGTTTTCTGTAGGATTTATAGCTCTGTGTTATGTTCTAAATTCATGCAAGTGACTCTAGAACATTCAAGTGGTGTCTATTTAGCCATGTCCACGCTAACTATGTGTAATTATTTAATGAGAGGATTTGCCTGCTTTCCTCAACTATATGGTGTTTCCACATTTTAGACCCTTGTTTTCTCTCTCTAATTCTTTCTAATTTGGAAGCATAGGACATAAACATCTCACACAGATTGCTAACAAGTCTCTAGTGAGTAATATTAGGGTTCACCTCTAAATCACAAACATGTTTAATGTATATCCAACTGGATTTTCCTTTGCCAACTTATTTTGCAATTTATTAATCAAGTAAGGTGATATTCCAAACACAACAGCATCTGTGACTTGCTATTTTTTTAATTAATGCATTTAATCTTAGGAGTATTTTCTAGACCATATGCCTGGAATCAAATTTGAAGAAATTCCACAAAAAAGATGAATTTCTTCCAAAGGTTAAAACAAGTCTCTCTCCCCTCTCAAAAAAATAAAGTCTCCCAAATCATAGAAAATGTATAAAATATATTATATTGAATTTTATTTCCCCACCTCCTATAGTTTACTGTTGCCATGGTTACTCATTGAAGGAGATTGTAAAAAGTTACTGGAATCTAAGATGAATCTCAATAGGTTTTGTCAGAGTGATAATTAAGTAGAAATTCTAGGTACTGCCAGTAATTGGAGGAATCTAAGTGGACTTAATCTTCAATGAATTTTAATTCCATTCTTTTCAAATCTCAGACTTCGAGAAGTATGTCTGAAAAAGGAGACTAACATCTCCATCGATACAAATGTATTAACAATTCCTAAATTACTTTATCTTTTGCTATCCACAGAAAAAATGGTATTCACAGCTTGAAAGAGGCATTGTTTTAGACATATAGCATAGCAAAGGCGCTCATGTAGGTCAGAGTTTTATCTTTGTCTTCAAAACCAGCTAGAAAGCCAGTTGCTATTTTAATTCCTGAAGTGATGTTTTAGCCTACCCTCTAGCTTCATGGTGGAGTTTACCAGCATGAAAGCCTGTCAGCAGACTGTGGGATGCGTGTGACAAAGATGGGCAACCGGTGTACCTTGCTGCATGAGAGCTCCAACTCCAAACCAGAAACTATTTAGTAAAGTAAAATTGTTTTCCACCACGTCTGAGTCAGGGTTGCATGGGTGGGGGTTATACCACTCGTAGGGTGTAAACCTGTGGTAGTTAACAGAAACAGTCTGTAAATATCAGATAGATACAGGCACCAGCAAAAATCGCTGAGCTCTGCAGAAAACCCAACAATGAATGAGGAAAACATCAAACCAAAAGATTAAAGGCCATATTCATAAACTTACAGCTTTGGTGAGCAAAGTGCAAAAGAGCCTTGAAGCATTAATATTTACCAGACTTCTTATTTCTAGGCAAAACCCATTGGTCCACTGTAACTGTGCTTCTCAGATCTATGTCTACTGAATTCTTCTGAGTTTTCATTCATTTCCACTGTACTGAACAACTAGATGGACTGTAAAGAAAGGTTCACTTATCCTTGGTGTTTACCCCCCCAAGTAGTAATAGAGCAACATACACTTATTGAAAAGCAACTACATTGTCGAGGTACTGTGTTAATAGGTCCTGCAGAGACATGAGAAGATGGGTGACTTGCCTCCAAGGAGTGTCTATGGACAGATGCTTAGGATGAGTCTAAGTGGCCTAGCAATTTAACAATGCTTCAAAGGGGCTGCAAGGCCTGAAAAAAAATTTAACGAACAAAAGAACTGGATTTGGGGTGTATCAGATATTTTGGGAGTAGTACAAAGGGTCTTTGAAAAGTTCATTGAAAATACTAATTATGAAAATAATATACATGGATTCTAAAATGTTTTTGTGCTGAAATAAACTTATACTTTGATTCCATTTTTTCCACAAACTTTTTGAAGTTCTCTCATATATGGAAACAAACATCACAATATTTAAATACGCAAAGCTTAAATTTTGAAGTATCACAGTCTCAGCATGGGAGAACATTAATATTAATATTAATTCCACAGAAGTCTTGCTTAAGAATCCTAAGTTTATGGGGGCCAGCAGTTAGTGTAATGGCTATGTTCGAGGCCTGGACCCGGTGGCTTAAACTCACGCCGGGCGTGTGTGCGTGCGTGCCCAAGATCCCGAGAATGGAGGAGAAGGGATTGCAGCGTGGCCAACCACCCTTCGGGGTGATTTCTCGCTTTCCGTCTCTCTCTCTCTCTCTGTCTTTCTGGTGAGCACATGTGCCCTATGGCAAAAATCTCTCAAAAAAAAAAAAAGAATTCTAGGTTCATAATTTTCTCTTGATTTGCTTTATTCAGTTGTTTTCAGAACTGTGACTTAGAGCCATTTAATCATCAACTCTAGTAAGGTTAGATTCTATTTTGTCATAGGGTACATGTGCTCACTGGAGAAAGACAGCGAGAAAGGGAAAGTGAGAAATCACCCCCTTATGGGTGATGGCCGAGCTGCAACCCCTTCTCTTCCATTCTCCTCTAGGGAGGTTGGGCACACACACACGTGTGCCTGTCATATTTTTTAGGCTGGTGGGTTTAGGATTTGAATCATGGAGTTGGCCAGATGAGATCCAGTATCTTAACCACCATATTACCTGCTGGCTCAGTATGTATTTTTGACAATATTATGATAACTTTACTTGCAAGTTGGTGAGCCATAAACGGTAAAAGTTTCTGGAAAAATAGCTAGTAGTCTGGGAAGTCAATCTTGAACAACTTGCTTAATCTCTCTGGCCCCCATTTTCTTATTTATAAATAAAAGAGAATCCAGATGTATCTGGGTTATGCTAAAATAAAAATCTGAAAAGCTAAATACATTAATTTTTTTCTGTTTTCTAAGCATCTGTCTGACCTATGTAGGCCAGAGGAGGCCTTTGTTCTATAGTTTTTCAGGTCTGTGTTACCAAGTGGGGTGCTTATTTTCCAAAGAGATGTTAGCAGATATTTAGCAAAGTGATAGGGAAATTATTTAAAATTCACTAATTCTTAGCACTGAAAGCTTTGCCATTTGCCATTGGGCCCTTTCAATGTAAACAGGAGTGTTAGAGTAATGTTAACACGCCATAACTCCAATGAGAACATACGGAGTGCTCTCCAGCCATAAGGTTTCAGCAGTAAACAATAGCAGGTTGCTGACACATTGGGGAGAACTGGGCTTAAGGTGAATACATTATCTGTATCAAAAAGCAAGTCACACTGTGAATCATGCACAAAGAATGGGGCAGACAGTTCTTCTTAATGAAAAACCATTCTCTAAGCCCCTGGACACCATCTGGAAAGTGTACAGATTCTCCTCATCAAATCTTAGGGCGACTGGCATAGCAGCCTCATAGTTTATCCCACTCTGAAGGTACTGGACTCATTACTGCATCTTCACAGCAGCAGGGAGCACCAAGCAGGTTTCTATGAAGCTTATGCATATAGCTTTAATTGACAGTGCCATGCCAATACATTTTAACTACTGTTTCAACAATATAATTAAGTTTTGTATTTATGCAACTGTTACAGCCGTAGTAGTCTGCTGTGCTGAAGAAAGGAATACCGATATTAATGAACCTACTAATTGAAATAATATGCAGAATAAAGATGTCATTACTTAAAAGATATTGTTACTTAACAATAATTTAAAAATACCAGTTGCCCAAAATTAGGAGACTCATGCATTCGATAGAAAAAGTTTTTTAAACAGCTCATAAAACCTGGCACCTGCCAGCTCCCTGATATTCTGAAATTTCTCTCCCAAATATACTTCAATTGATGAGCTCACTGCTTCCTTCTTTATAGTGCTGCTTTGACTTGGTCTTGTTTCAATATTGCATACTTTGCACTTACAAGTGAGCAATTAATCTAATTCTTCAGTGTCAAAAAGAAACCTAAACAGCAATGCAATTCTGCCTGCTCTACAGAGATATTTTAGGTCTGTAGTCTCTAGGAGGCCAAGTGAGTTGGAGAGCAGGTGGACGGAGGAATACAGCAACGATGACAGGAGGCTGTGCTGTACGACACTGGCTTTTCTAATGAAATAGACCTACCTATTGCCTGGATGAAGATTTTCATCTTGAAATTCCTAATGCTGCTTAAGGCTAGGCCATGTGACAGCCCTGTCAGCCGCAGACTCTGCGGGAAAGATTAATATAGGAACTGTGCCAATGATGATCTGCAACTGTTATGCCCACATGACTTGGAAAATCAATGCTAAAATTTAGTAAAATGATGGAGAAAGGGGCAAATGTGCTTAGAATCTGTGCCAAAACTTAGCATCTAGACAAATAGCTTTATACTGAAATATGAAGGTTTATTTTGGATTTATGTTTATATATGCTAAGCTTACACTTGAATAAAAGACATGAAATGATCCTCACGCTGTCATTCTCTAATTATCTTTTGATGGCTAATATGAACATTGGTCTGGACAGAGGGGAGGGAGATCACTGATCTTTCAAAGGATGAAGCTCTATTTGAATCTGTAATATAATCACTTTCTCTTTCTTCCTTTTTTTTTTTTGCTGAATGCTGATTGAAAAAAAATTATTTTTAAGATGACAAACATAAATCATAAGTGTAGGCAGACAGTCTACCTAGATATTTGTTCCTTTAAATTGTGCATTTGTGATGTACATAATTCCTTAGGGCTAAATATTTTTTAAAAAAAAGGGGGCAAGAAAGTCACTAAAAAACATAAAACGAAAACAATGGCATGAACATTGTAACAAGGCATTGTAACCAAAATTTTTATATTGTTTTTCTTAGTTTGTCTCACTGATGTCTACAACTTTATAAATTCACAACTTTATAAATTCAGTTCAAAAAGTGATTCTTGAGCATTTATCTAGTGAGGGCATTAGTCTAAGTAAGGCTTTATTTTTTTTCCTTTTTTATTTTTTCTTCTTTTTTTTTTTGAGAGATTTTCACTGTAGGGGGCATGCGCTCGCCAGACAGACAGAGAGAGACATAGAGACAGAAAGCGAGAAATCACCTCCCAGGGGGGATGGTCACGCCGCAATCCCTTCTCCTCCATTCTCCTCTCGGGATCTTGGGCACGCACGCACACGCGCCCGGCGTGAGTTTTAAGCCACCGGGTCCGGGACACGAACCGTGGTTGACTACGTGGGAGTCCACCGACATAGCCATTACGCTAACTGCTGGTTCCCTATTTTTTTTTTCTTTTAAAAGAATATAAAAATCTCAACATAAATTCCAAAGCCTGTCTATAGTTAAAGATGAGCATGAAATTAACTATCTTTAATTTCTATTTCACTGACTTTGAATACCAAGCAGTAAGATAGCAACTAAAACTCATTTTACATCTTAGCTTATTGTTACAGAGAGACAAGTTGTTCTCAAACTCTGATGGTAGGAAGTAAAGGTTTTGGTGCACCTAGTAACCAGGATTTTGTTTTGGTGTACCACTTTCAAATATATTCAATGGCTTAAAAATAAATAAATAAAAAGGGAACCAGCAGTTAGCGTAACGGCTATGTCGCTGGACCCCCATGTAGTAGACTGTGGTTCGCATCCTGGACCTGGTGGCTTAAAACTCACGCCGGGCGTGTGTGCGTGCATGTCCAAGATCCCGAGGGGAGAATGGAGGAGAAGGGATTGCGGCGTGACCATCCCCCCTGGGGGGTGATTTCTCGCTTTCTGTCTCTATGTCTCTCTCTGTCTGTCTGGCGAGCGCACGCGCCCTATAGCAAAAACCTCTCAAAAAAAAATATATATATTCAATGGCTTTATGAAATAGAAAAGAAGATGAATGTAACTAAGACTATAGTCTTCATAACAATACACCTGTGCACTGTAGGTCGGTATTATCTTTATTCTTACAGTTTCAATATTTGACCACCGTGCTATTTGCAAGTTTGCATGTGATACCTAACACTTCAATTTTGCAAGACTCAGAGCAAGAGAAAGGCAGCAAAAGGGGGAAACAAAGAGGATAAGTTAAATAAAAAGGGGGCTGTTTATAAATGGCACTGTCAGTGAGTAGGAATATTGACTGGATAGCATCACCACGGGGAGGGAAAGGAATGCAGCCACTTTCTTAATAGAAATGGACTATATGAAGCCAGATAATGTAGAGGTCACCAAAAACTTGTGGAGGGACAGACAAAATAAGGAGGAAAAAACTACGGAACATGACACTTTTCTGACATCTTCTTATGAAAGAAAAAAAAAAAACTGAATTGGGAGTCAAGTATAGAAGAAGACTTTTAGCCTGAATGTTTGGAAGAACTTCCATATCTGCTGACATCTCCCCGCCACTGGCTTGGTCAAATCACCATCATTTATAACATCCTTGCTCATCAACATTGTTTTGCCTCTTTTACTTGTCAGCATCACTGCCTAGACAGAACTGGAGACTGGGGACTACGGACACTCATTTTTCTATTGCCCTCTGATGCTTGGATTGCTCTACTAGCCCTAATACCACTCGAAGGTATGGGCTTGGGGCAGAGGAATAAGACAATGAGTCAATTTAACATTATTTCTTGTTAGATTTTTTTTTCAACCTTAGGGTAGTCATTTATTAACTGGCTATTCTGGGGCAATATTAATTTTGCTTAGGAAGATGTAATGAGATATACTCACACTACATGGAATCATTTTTTATATTATCTGGTATCCAAAGCAATATTTTCTTTAGTTATTGTGAGCATGGCTTCTCAATCTTGGTGGCATTAAATTTTGGAGTGGATAATTCCTTGTTATTGGGGACACTGTCCTGTATATCGTAGAGTGTTTGGCAGTGTGCTTGGACCCTATCACCGTGATACCAATAATATTTCCAATCCCTGACATTACCAAATGTCCCCAATGTCCCCATGGTGGATAATCTTTCCCAGCTGAAAACCACTGATTTAGATCATCAAAACAAACAAACAAACAAACAAACAAACAAAAGGATAGTATTATCATACATATTGTAAAGATTTTATTTTCTGAGGGAAGGCATATGGAAAGAAAGTTTTAGCCACTATTCAAAAATATGAATTCTGGGGTCTGGAAAGTATGAATTCTGGGGTCTGGAAATGGTACACATTACAAAGTGTAGAGAACTTCAAAACATCCATTTTTTTGCATTGAATATATAAACACCCACATGTGAGAGTACACATTTAACCATTCTGACTATGTCTGTCTTGTGGATTTTGAAGGCCTTTTCAGTTTAGGTTATTTTCTAAGCTTTCTTTGTAATTACACCAGGGAGAGAGTTACCTGGCATTAATCAAAACCAGACAGTGGACAATGACAAAGAGCTAGCATGAAGAAATATTTCTCTTAGAAATTCCTGGAGGGAAAACAAAAATTGATTAGGGGAAAAGTTCACTGAGTTTTGTGGAAGGGTGAAAAAGATTGAAAACAAGTAGGGGACATACAAAAGCAAGTTTTATAAAAACATGGTTTATCTAGGGATAGCAAATGTTTAAGCCAACAGAAAGATAAAATAGCTGTTTCAAATTCAGCATCAAATACATTTAGAAAATATGATCTACTGAAAGATATAAAAATCCTTTAAAGGATTGTGTAGAGCAGAATAGTTATACAGTTAAATCTCAAAAAATTAAGCCTAATCAGAATTATCCTCTCGGAATCTTGGGCACGCATCCACATGCGCCTGACATGAGTTTAAGCTAGCAGGTCCAGGACTTGAACCACAGTTGACTACATGGGAATTCAGTGATACAGTCATTACATCAACTGCTGGTCCTGGTAGCATAAAAATTTGATGTCTCTAAACTCTATACATAAATAATCTTTCCTTTCAGAGTTATTTCTAGGGTTTTTTTTTTTTTCTCTCTAACGTTTTTAAAAACAAGTTTCATAGAAATTTCAAAATTTTTCTTTATTCTTGAGGATTTCACTGTCTTTTTATTCCAATATTTCTTATTTTCTATGGTAATTCCTAGGTAACTTTTTTCTGTTTTACTTAACCAAATATTCCAAGGATCAAATATCTTTGGACACCATTTCATTATTCTTTTATTTATTTATTTTTTTTGAGAGTTTTTTTTGCTATAGGGGGCATGCGCTCACCAGAAAGACAGAGAGAGACAGAAGATAGAAAGCGAGAAATCACACCCCCCCCAGGGGGGATGGCCATGCCGCAATCCCTTCTCCTCCATTCTCCTCTTGGAATCTTGGGCATGCATGCACACGTGCCTGGAGTGAGTTTAAGCCACTGGGTCCGGGACTCGAACTGTGGTCTACTACATAGGAGTCCAGCCATTACGCCAAATGCTGGTCCCCATTTTATTATTCTTATTAAAAACATTTTATATTTATTTGTTTAAATATTGCTTTTGTTGTAATATACATTAAAAAAAATCACTATTTCATGTTACTTGAAATACTGATAAAATTAAACTAAAATTAAAAACTTATCTTACTCTTTTTCAGAAGTACCTTTACTAATGACCAGATGACATTCATTTGCAGCGAGTGTTTTACATTGAGCTCTTAAGAAAACAAAACACTAGGTAAAACTAAAAAGGCACTTTCAGGTGCTTCGCTTTTGTCAACCCTCTAGAACATGCAGGTGATTCTGAGATTGGCACAGATCTATTGTTGTGAATTCAGTAGTTCTTGAACTTACCTTGCAATCACAAAGAGTACACAACTAACTCCCAAGCAGGCTAGGAGTACATACATCCATATGTCTGGAGACAGGGGGTTGAGGAAGGAGAAGACGCCTGGATTGGTACCATTGGGCTTCCGGTAGAGGATGCTGATGCCCAGGGTCATGAAGGGTTTGGAGAAGTCGATGACTTTCTCCCGCACATACGTGATGGTAAGAGGAGCCACGGCCAGGTCAGCCCTCTGCAAAAGTAAGTCCAAGATTGAGAGTATAGCTGTTTAACTTTTCTGTCAATGTTTGGTCATTCCTGGGTACTCTTGATCCCCATTCTCAACTCCAAATGGTTCTCAAGCAAGAAGCTTCTGAGATATAGACTTCAACATAAAAATAGTTGATTCAGGGGTCAGCAGATGGCCTGATGTTTAATGTTACTGAACTCCCACATAGTGGACCACAGTTTGAGTCCTGGACTTGACAACTTAAAACTCACACTGGGCAAGTGTGCCTGTGTGTCCAAAATTCTGAGAGGATAATGGAGAAGGGACTACAGTGTGGCCATCCTGCCTGGGGGTGATTTCTCTCTTTCTGTCTCTCTGGCAAGTACACATGCTCTACAGCAAGAATCTCTCTTAAAAAAATAAATAAATAAACCCAGTTGATTTATATAATTATGTTTATGAAATAATAATTATTAGCCAAAATAAAGCAGAAGATGAAATGTGCACATACACACACACACACACACAAACACAGAGGCATATGTCTATAAGGATCTATATTATTCTGGAATAAAATGGAGGGAAAGAAGAAGAATGTCAGTATAAGGACATGTAAGAAAAGGAAAGAATGAGCAACCTGGCTGTATGGTGACATGACAGAATGAGATTGTGCTCTGAGCTGAAAACGTTAGAATTCTTTGTGTAATTTTAAAATCACTCAGGTTTAGTCTTCAGTACAAAGGATAACACACAAATGTTTATCCTTACTTGCCCTTCTAAGTAAGGAAACTACATTTCTAGGTTGCAGTCTACTTTTTATCTTTTAAAGACATGTTTATGAGTTAAAAAAGGAAACATTTCTCTGACACTGACTCAACCATTTTTTTCTTTTTCCTTTTTCTTCTTCTCATTACGCGTTTTTTTCCAGGCACATAAGATGCGTTTTCACTTACATGATCTATGAGCTCTTTAACCATTCCATTCCACTCTCCTTTGTCATTCTGGGCTCCGTATTTGCCATCAGGGACTAGTTTAACATCATAAATAAAACCCAGGATGCTTGACAACTCTTTCAACAGATCCAGGCAATATCCCTCAAATCTGTCATTTCCATACAGGGGCTTATCAGATTTTCTGTACATCACATAAGGCTCTTCCTAAATAAAACAAACCAAATATGAAAACCCTGTTATAATGAAAGAGTTTACCCCTTCAACAACACGAATTTATTACATTTGGGAAATGATCTTTGAGAGTTGAGAGTACTGAAATCAGTGACTCAGCATTACCTATGCCCTCTGAAAATATGGGACACTTCATAGATTATGTTTTCTTTCCCTGCTGCCTTGTTGGATGGGATTTTCTTCTCTACTGCTGAAGACAGGAGTGCAAGTGAAGGGTGACTAGAGACACAGACATAGAGGCCACGGAGTCCTGAAGAGTGGCCTCTTGCTGTGCCAGCTTCCTTTGCTCGACCCTCGCTCTTCTTGGCTTTTTTCAGAGAGCCTTATCTATTTACAAAATCAAAATTACTACAGATATCTTCTCACACTTCACGGCTTCCTGTCTACTGAATATTCTCTTTCCCTCATGTTAATTTAATCTCAGGTTCACTATTCACATCCTATCTGTGTATTTTGGTTAATTTCCTTTAGAATGGCCTATTCCAATGATTTGCATCTACACTCTCATTTTCTTATTTGAAATAGTCTCAAATCTTATATCTGGTAGTTCCTTGCTTATATGTGTATGTTATAAGTCCCCTATTTTAAGAATAATGAACATTTTCTTCCTACCATGCATATATAATCTTAGTTCTCATTCAACTAAATGAAAGTTCTTTTTTAATAATTAAGTGATAACAATTACTATAGTTCTGACCTGTCTTTCAGGTCTTGGCTTACCTTCAAATTAACAGATATTTAATCATACAACTATAATAGAAAACTTATGTTCCCAAAGATCATTGCCAAGAAAGTAGTGACCAGAAAAACAAAACAGTTTTTACTTGGGATGAACAATTCTCACAGGTTAACTATTTTAAAAAAATAAGTTGGTCAGACATTATGGACTAAACTAAATAAGGAAGGCAAGTCTGCAAGGGAAGATTTCGGAGGGACCACTCCTGCCCAGCTTCCTTGGAAGGAGTAACATATTAAACAGTCAGCAGACTTACAGTGACTGGATGGGGTATAATCAGTGTTCCAACAGGCAGCAGGATGAGCCTGCTAATTACTGAGCAAGTAATAAGGGCTATTTACACAGTGTAAGGACTGAAACCAACTACTTTCCTTTATTTTAAATTTTTCTTAGAGACCTGGGAAGAGTCATTTTTTAAACAAATTACTGACCCTAGAATTTCCAAACCCTTCTATAACTTATAAGCCCCCTCTTCTAGATGTGTTGCCTTTTTGGACCAGGCCAGTATGAAAGTGCATGTGCTGACTTACACTTGTGCTTGTGTCTCCCACCCTCAAACCTAAATAAAAGAGCTACTGGACCTAAGCTCCCCAGAATACTTTCTCAGGAATATGAGATTGTGCTCTTGAGCCGTGGCCACTCACTATTTTGACTCTAAATAAACCTTTGAAAATACTTTTTACAGAGTTTGGTTATTTCCCTTGACAGGTGTGATCAGAGCAAAAGGAGCCAAGGGATGTGGGGGTGGGATTTGAGGGTGGAGTGTAGATGCCAAAGGAACAACTTCATCAGGAAGTTCATACAACCAAGGGCTGAGATAAGGACGAAAGAAAAAAATGATTGTGGAGTTGAGGGTAGCTGAAAAAATGGAGGGGACAGAAAAAAGAAATGATCTTCTTTCTTTCTCCCCACTTTCTTGGACTCCTGCCAGAGTCTCCCTTTGGATAAAACCAACCAGCAGTCAGAGAACCAGGATAACCATCCAGGTTGGGACTGAGGGATGAGCAGAGTAGAGTTAAAAATGGATTAGGCAAGGATTTTCAGAAAAATGTTGAAAGCTTTTAATTCAGTCCTATTATAGTTATGTGCAAATATATGGTTTTAGGATCCCTGTTAAAAACAGACATGTGCAGAGCCAGCAGGTGGCATGGAGGTTAAGACAGTTGGATCCCAAAAGGCCAAGTCCGTGGTTCAAGTCTCAGACCAGCAGCTTGAGAATCATGCCAAGCACATGCACATGCATGCCCAAAATACCCAGAAGAGAATGGAGGAGAAGGGATTGCAATGTGGCCAGCCACTCCCCCCTCTCTGGAAGGGGGGGGTTCTTACGTCCTCTCTCTCTTTCTGTTTCTGTGAAGTGCATGTGCCCTATAGCAAAAAGCTGAAAACAAAATAACAACAATTTCCCTAAGTCCCCCATACATTTGCAGAAAAATTGCTGGCATAAAAAAGACAGATGAGTCCTTGACGGTCTGGGTAGGAATCTGGACAAAAAGCCCTGAATCCCATGCATTCAACTTACCAGAATGGTGGTGACAATGAGTGTTCGGTTGGCCAGTGAATCGGTGATGTTATTGGACTTATCTTTGTTGCTGTCTGTCATGTTAAGACCACTGTTGGAATTCCAAATCCCAATCTACACAGAACACAGTACATCAGAGTCTGCTGGCTGTCAATGGGCATTTATACTAAAGAAGGCCATGTCTATACCCTCTATAGGAATGTGCAACAAGCTCACAGTCTGGGACACTAGGGTATCACAGTAGAAGCTACTGAATGAAGGAAAATGAAACAATGGATGAATGAGTGTGTAGACAAGTAGAATAAATGTATGCTATTTGGAGCAGGATAAGGGACGGTCTTTTGTTTTTAAATTATTAAGCTCATTGTTCTTTTTCAAATTAAAATATACTAAGAAATATGAAATGAATATCAGATTTTTCTCCCAATGTGAATTTATCGAGCACCTACTTATGTGTTAGGCATCACTCTGGGCATTGGAGAACATGAATGAAATAGACAAGGGTTTCTGCCCTTGTGGAGCTTACATTCTACTGATACAAACCTTATGCTACTTAAGTAGAATCAGAAGTGAAGAATGAGATAGAGGGAGCAAGGTGGATGGTGGACAGACTGAGCATTGAAACAGGAAAGGTGAGGGGACGAAAAAGAGTGGGTGAGAAGTAGACTAAATTCTGAGCCTGTCTCCACTGAGAAGTCAATGCTGGGCGGGCCATGCCTGTCTACCTTGGCACCCAAAATCTTTTATTAGTATCTGTTTATCTGTCTTGTCTATTTGACCATGAACTTCAGTGAGGGTAGTAGCTTTTATTGCTCATTCATCTTTCTATCACAGAACCAATCAAGACAATTCGTGTTCAGTGAAACCCATTGCTCTTTTAAAAACTAATGACCCACAGTTTTCTTCTGGGGCTGAGTCATTCCTGGGTTATTAGGCTTTGTAGAAGCGTATTGATTTGTGTAGCCTCTAGGGAAACATAGGAGAATCTTCAGGAATTGAGCTATTTGTCTGAATCCTTCCTTCTAAAGGTATTTACTGTCAGCCTCCTGAGGTAGGATGTGAGTGTGTCTCAGGGATAGGCAGACTCGGTTGCTGTTTGACCTTGGACAAGATGCTAACCTTTCTGAGCTTTGATTCTTTAGCTGTAAAGTACTTTATCAGGATACTGAGAACAGCAAATGAGATGATGTATGTGAAGTGTTGGAGTATATTAAAAATTGCACAAATGATAATAATAAAGGACATCCAAATGACTGCCCCAGTAATTTCTTCAAGTTTTGCCCTGTTGTAAAAGAATTTCGAATCATTAGTGTTTTCTTTTTAAAAATTCAGAAGCTGATAAGGTAAAGAAATTGTGAAAAACAAGGGCAGTTTAGGAACACTAACACTTGGACATACTCAGATGAACAGGGTGGCTCTATGCTTGATCCCTAAGTACATTTCCCCGGTGGGAAGACATTTGGCTTAGCTGAGCACGGTATGAGCTTTGTACACAGACTTGGTCCAGATCCTACCTTTGTGACTTACCAGCCGTGTGACCTTGAGGAAGTTAATGAACCCTGTTGTGCCTCAATTTCCTCACCAGCAAATTGTAGATAATAGGTTTTTTCTAATGTTAAACAAAATATCACATGTGGGGATGTTAGGCCCCTACTTTCTTTACTTTTCTAATTCTTTACATTGATTAGTGCCTAAATTTAACAGCTAGAAATTCATTAAGCTTGACAAATATCCTTTTTAGAGATATAAATGCATTGAGAAAGTTAAAAGAACTATCACATTCATGCATTATTTTAGTGTAATATATTTTGATTTCACCATTTTTCCCCCCATGTACTTCGTTTGGGTTAGTTGACTGGAGAAGTAGAGGGACAGGTCTAAGTAAATGAAGGATTGGGATAGTTTCTGCATTTGAAAGTATTGTGGTCCTGCTGGAAAAAACAGTAATTGGAGGTAAGACTGAAACATAGTCCAGCACCTGTAATAAGGACTCAGTATTTCCAGGGTCTAGTGCAATGCCTATTACTTAGAATGTGCATGGAACTTCCCATTGGTTGAAGAATCTTCAGTTTTCTTTGGCTCCTCTTAAACTCAGGAAAGGTAAATAACATTTTCTTCTCTCTATACTCAACCTTCACTCTTTCTTTCACTGTTTTGAGGCAGAAATGTTTGCTTCTAGGAAACATAGTTCAGGCTAAATACACTTGTTTGTTGGTTTTCTTCCAAAGCTTTGCTTTGGGATGTGAACAATCGACTTCTAACTCCATGAAGACTGTGTATAAATTGGGTCCTAGATGTACTTCTAATTAGACCTGTACTAAGGCACTGAGGAGAATGGAGCCTAATTTTTAATTAAGCTATTGAAGGGTGGAGAAAATACTGTGTTTGCAATCACTTTGTTAAGTAATAGAATATATTCTCTTTAGCTCTGACTTCTATTAATGTTGACTATGCATGTGTTTAAAAGAACTACACTAATATTTAACAATGTCAGTGTTGAAAGGTCTTGCAATACCATTTCTTTCTAAAATAAAACTTGAAATTATAGACCAATACAACCCAGAGTTTGATGTCTGCCTTTTATTTCTCTCTTTTTCAATTTATTTATTGTCTTTTATTTCTCTTAATGTCCTCACTCTAAGTACAAAGATAAGAGATCATCACTGTTGTCTTTTAAATCAACCATGACCCAGAGTCCCATTCAGGGGGAAGTTTCCTCTTACCATGAGAAAGGGTAGGCTGTTTTTATTCTGCTCTCTGTATAACAGAGGATCCCGTAAACAGACTAAAAGAGCATCAAAATATAGCAAAAGTCCGGCTTTTCCAGGAAAGTGGATAGTATACATATGCCATTTCAATAACCTCAACATGCTGTTTTTGAAATTTTCAATCAGCAAAACAGAAAGGGGTGTGTGTGTGTGTGTGTGTGTGAGAGAGAGAGAGAGAGAGAGAGAGAGAGAGAGATAAACCTAAGGAGTCAACGAACTTTATATGTTAATTGAGACAAATGAACACACTGTCAGTAAATAAATGTCTCATTCTGAAGAAGAGATCTCAGATCACTTTGTGTGTCACAATTTATGAGTGCCGGAGGGAGGGGTCCAGTTAGCCAGATGCCTGGACAGTTGGCATTTCTGTCCTGTGCTATGACCTTGGCAGAGTGCCTCCCGGAAGCAGGACTCAATTTCAAACTGTACAGTGAAAGCAGACTGCAGAAATTTACCAGTGAGAAGTGGTGGAGGGTGGATCAATTATTCGTGGGGAGGAACACTCAAAAACTAAATTGTCCGGCCCTGCCTTCTCTCACTTCATAAGCTGGCAGGAGGGAGAAGTCATTTGTTATCTACGACAACTGAGGGAAGCATCTGAACATAAGCAGCAAAATGACATTAAGCAAATTAAGCAAACTTTTTAAAAAAGGGATGCAATGAAAGGACGTTCAGAGCGACTGACATCTATCTTTCATACCTCAGGAGTGCTCCGTGTAAACTCCAAAGTAAAAATTGCTGTGTGAAATAATCAGGTATCTGGGGCAGAGGGAGAATTTTCTTTTCTTCTTCTTCTTTTTTTTAATTGTGGGACTTATTAACACATCTTTTAGTGAGAGGTTATGAAAAGATTGCTATATCTTTCTTATAGAAGGAATTTCAGGCAAACTGTTCTATACTAAAAAGTGAACAGACTATCCAGGAGAACTTTTGGAATTAAAATATAATGGGAGAGGGGCATACACTCTTCTCTTTAACATGGAGTCCTTTTGGGAAAGTATGACGCGTTCGTGGGGTCTGAATGCATCCCCTGGGCTAGAAGTCAAGTTACTGTGAATTGTTGATGAACAGCCATAACACAAAACAGCACACCACAGCATATACAGTTTACAACGTGGGCAATGATGGGTTATCAGGAAGAAAGAGGCATTGAGGCATGGAGGAACAAGGTCAAGAAGTTACGTTTCTAGGAGTGGGTGTGGATATTGCAGTTTAGTGGCAAATAGAGGACGTTCTCCCTCTTCTGTGTATAATTTCAGAGCTGGGATTCCATTCCCTAGGATATTTGGCTTGAATTAATTCAACATTCCATAAAGTGCCCAGAGTCTCAAGATGGATTAGTGTAATAAGCTTCTTTCTGAGTACCAGCGAGATTCATCTATTTACTAGCAGTGAGAAAAGTGGATGGCCTTGTATGTGCCTTTAGTGGACTGGATCATTGAAGATTAAAACAAGGTTAATAAACCCACGTTTTGTTAAACTTCAAAGGGGAAAGTTTTGAGCTCAGCTACTGAGTCCTACCAAAAGGGAGACAACCTCCCTGACTACATGGAGAAGCTGTTTACACTTTCTGTGAGCTCGCCGATGAGTCCAAAGATAAAAGTGAACCTGACAAAGCTGTTCAAGTCAAACAACTTGAATTAATTTAAGGTCTATCCATCAATCAATAGATTAGTTTTTTTTTTTTTTTTTTTTTTTTTTTTGGCAAGTAGTTTTAGAGAGGGAGAGAGAGAGAATGGAAGACAATGTTTGCCTATCACCGGGACATTTTCCAGATCCAAATATCCAAATGTTTTTAATGTCTCATGTTTGCTTATATAAATCTATGCACATTTATTGGCAGCATGATACTGTACAATAAACTATGAAATAGTGGGTGTTATAATTTACAAGATAATCTCATTTCCTTCCAAAGTCTCTAATGCGTTTGTCCTCTGGAAACTGTGGTTCTAAAACAAACTGCAAGATAGCACGCTCTGATGAAGATACTGCATAAAAGCAAAGATAACTCATAAGAAACAGGAATTTCTGAAAATGGTGGTGACGTTGAAGGAGGTGTTCTAGCCTTCTGAATCTTTAACCTATCTTCCTAGTCTGATGGATCACACCTATTGTTGTTTTCATCCGCCTTTACTGACTTCAGAAGGAATATGAATGGACTAGGGTCTACTTTTGTTGCCAAAACCTGCTCTCTGTCCTAATGGGTACTGATCCTGCCTGAGAGAAACAAAGATAATCTAGGGGATACATTTAATGCATCACTTTTTAATTCATCACGAGCCTCTTTTCAATTCATTGGTAATGTTGAGAAAGAACATATTCAATCACCTCCATTCTCTCTTTACATTGAATATCACCTCTAAACTGCAATTGGACAGCTACTTGTCTGGCAAAAGTGAAGGGTGCAGGCTTTTCCACTCACATTTCCCACCCCACCCCCAGGTTTCCTGCAGTCATTGTCAGAGTACAAACCTTCTTCCACACTTTATACAAGTGTTTAGACACTTCGCCAGCAGCCTTGGTTTTCAGAGGGAAAAATAAAGATAGCACTTAATTAAAATGAATCATGGAACCCAAAAGGTATCATGGTGTGTGAATGCTTAGTGTGTTACATTCCTCATCCATTGTTTGAAATCCTGCATCTTAATTTAGTACAAAGTCTGACAATAGATACAACGAAAAGATGAATCAAGAGTTGCATCTTACACATTAAAAAAAATGACTTAAAATGCTTTTTGAGTATGTCTAGCTCTGCTGCAGTGTTAAAGGGTCTTTACCTTCCTTCAGAAGACCTGTTCAAAACATTAGAATCTAAAATCAGTCAGTCAATCCACATTCACAGCCTCACACACCACTATTCCTAAGCTAGAAGAAGAATCACGCTTGATGATTTGTTCTTTGATTATAGGCTTCCAGTCAGTAGAAACTTGACTGAGAGTGAGAAATAGCCTTTTCCTAACAGTTTTCCCTGTAGACCCTGAGAGACTGACATGAAAAGATTGGACATTTCCTCCCTTGGCTCCTAAGAGAGATAACATTGGCTTTCCCCATTGCCTTAAGGCCCTGTCGGTTTTCTCAGGAATAGTGCCCAAGTCACCTGAAGAAAGAAAAGATATTGCACAAATGAGAAGATAAGAAAAAAAGGAAAGCCACTTCCATCTAATTCGATTTTGTCTTTAACAGGAAAAACCACAAATAGAGTGTGCATAAAATTGCTGTGTATAAATAGCTGTGAAAGCAAAACAATAGCTCCTTCTATTTCCTCACCCATCTGAGCCCAAAGGATGTTTCCTTAACAGATTTTATTACCCTCTTCACTGTTGTACATTAAGAGGAGAGGAGGGAACAGAAAGACGAGTGCTTAGAGAAGCAGACATTTAAAAAAAAAGTATACTCTTTTAGATCATAGCAACTATTCTATTCTCTGTTCCCTCCAGTTCAAATCCCACCTTCCTTTGTGGAGGCCAGGTAGATATTCTGTGCTCTGTCTGAGCATGTAAAATCAACAGAGGAGCAAACCAGAATGAAGAAGCAGCACGAGAGGGGGAGACGAAGAGAATGAGTGCAAATGTTCAAAATGGGAAACCTGCATGTATAAGGCCTACTCTCAAAGCTGCAGACGAATGATTTCAACAGTAGAGGCAACCTTCTGTTATAGTCAGCTGAAATAATCTTCGTTTCAGTGAATGCTAGGGGGGTGGGTTAGTTAAGATATGAAAAAGGGAAAAAAAATGTATGTGTTCCTGTTAACAAAAGCTACAAAATAGAAATGAAAACCTTAAGTAATTCTAAAAACTTGGCACAACTATTTCAAATTAAGTAAGCAATCAATTGTTCCCCAAAGCACTCTTTTACTTTAAGCAGACTGTCTTGTTCACGATGGTGGAAAAAATATTGGTTTATAGAGTTTTGAGTGTTTAGATGATTGTTTGGGGGGTTTCAAAATCTTTTTCTTTTTAAGATTCTAAAGGGCAAAATCTTCTAATGGTAAGTGTTAATTCCAATTTTACAGTCATGAACACTAGAATTGTATGACAAAGTACTCTGAGAAGCCAAATTCTTTTATCATTATTATTTAACTAATCAATAAACTCTCCATTTGTGTTACTCTAAATAGTAACTAAAATGGAACTTTAAACTTTGAGAGATTGAGAATTACAAGTAAAATAATTCTAATATGAGAATCCGACATAAAAATTTATCTTTTTAGCAGTTGTCCTAAAATCAAGAATACAGTTAATTCACTATAGTAGGCCGTCTCTGTCCCACTTCATTCTGTCCCTCTGTTACTAATCTCAAAATGTAGTGCAATTAAAATTAAATTATGAGAAATGGATGCCATTCTACAGATAAACCATTGACAATTTCTGATTTTCCAAGTCTAAACTCAATTTCTTAAAACCTTTGAGAAAGGAGCCTAAGACACACAATCTTAGAATTATACATATGTACTGATATACATATACACTTGCTGCATCAAACCGAGCACTTTCTAAACATGAGTTAGCATTGCTATTGATCTCACATATGGTTTAAGAATGTAGCACTCTGCAAGAGATGGAAAGAGTTCTAGAAAACTGGAAAAAATGAACACAGTGACAAAAATCACTTTATCCTTCCTTCCTTGTCTATATAATTTAGTAAAGTACTTGAGCCTTGCTATTCATTTTTATCATCAATTATCTATCTATATCTATTTATCTATCATCTATCATCTATCTATCTATCTATCATCTATCTATCTATCTATCTATCTATCTATCTATCTATCTATCTATAGCTATCGATATCTACCATCTATCAAAGAGATTACCTTTTCAGTTCCTTCCTCTTTGAGACTAATAATGTCCAGATCAAAATCCTTCCTCAAGCCATCCGTTTTATTGAAGGTAATACGTCCGGTCAAGCCATCCCAACGAGCCTGTGAACAAAAAGGCAGTGTTACTGTTTAGCACTTATAATCCTAAGACTATGAAAATCATAATACTTCAAATTCATCACAATATCCAATTATTCGGTTTCATCATGTTGCTGTAAGCCACGGCATTGGTTCAGTAATTCGATAGCAGAACATTTCACCATTTTATCAGCACTCATTTATTTTGTCAGTGCTAACATCTTAACACCAGTCAAACCTATAATATTGGCAACCTAAGTGGGCAATATGGAAGATATACTGTACGCTTGTCTGCACAGGGAGTAAACAAAGTCTGGGAAGTCATAACATTCTTTGTCCAAGGTCAATCCAAATGCTTTGCAAGGTACAGCCAAGGGGTAGTGCCCCTTTTTCTTTCTCTGTGAAAAGGATATAGTCCAATGATGTACTATAACATTTTTAAGGTGTTTGTGACTTAGGTTATTTAATTTCATTTGAGCATTGTAATTTCCTGTGGCATGTGTAGCAAATGATCACAAACTTGGTAGCTTAAAACTATAGAAATGTGTTTTTCACAGTTTTGGAAGCCAGGAGTATTCCCAGGTACAATTAAAGTGTCAGCAGTTTCCATGTTCTCTCTGGTGGCATGAGGGAAAGCTTCGTTCTTTGTCTCTTCCTGCTGTTGGTGGTTTCTAGCACTCCTTCTGGCCCTGTCGCGGCATCATACCAATCTCCGTCTCACATTGCCTCTTCAGTCTGTGAAATTTCCCTCTGCTTCTTTCTTACAAGGTCACCCATGATTACATGTTGGTCCTACCCAGATAATCCAAGATCATTTCTTCATCTCGAAACTCCTTAATATAATTATATATATAAAGTCTTTACATTTTTTAAAATTAATGTATTTAATTTACATTTAATCACAACATTGCTTTTTATATCACGAATATGATGCATATCAGTCAAGATAAAGACATTACCATTTACATTATCATCAGCTAATAATTTTTCATTTTTGTGCCAATTAAATGTATTGTTTCTTCCATTCCCCTCCCTCCTTCCTTCTACTACTCACCCACATATTACCCCTATTTTTAATATCTCTAGTGTCCACTATTGCCGTCCCTACTACTATACCTTCCAAACTTTCCATTTCTGCTATATAGAGCAGACATTCAATATATATTGAATAGGGACATACAAAATCTCTTTCATATCCTGACTTGGTTTGCTTAACATTGAATCTTCCATATTCATCCACTTCATATCAAATGTCAGTGTCTCATTGTCTTTATGACTGAGTAGTATGATTGGATATTTGTGTTCTCTATGTCCCAGCAATTGTAAATAACTCTACAATAAACATGGACGTGTAAGTATTTTTCCTATGGAGGATTTTTCAATCCTTTGGGTAAATACATAAGAGTGGAAATACAAGAGTTCATTTTTTTTTTTTTTTTTTTTTTTTGTGGTGGGGAGGGAGGAGGAAGAGGCTTTTGCTATAGGGCACGTGCACTTAGTAGATAGAGAGATA